AATGACCCAACCTCTGTTTTTATACACAACACACAAACACACACACACACACACACACACACACACACACGTTTCCATTTTCAGATGTTTCAATAAAGCTTTAAGAAAGAATCATAGAGAGAAAGTGGGGGGAGGATTCTGTAATCTTTTAGCCACTACAATTACTATTTTACAAATAGTCTTGGGCTTTGATAGAGAATTTAGTTTTCTTTTTCAGATTTAAGGACTAGTAGGAATGTGCTTTAAACTGTTTGAAAGGCATGGAATAAAAATCTTCTTCTTAAAGACCAACAACTTTTTTTTACAAAGTGTAGAGGTTGGTAGTCTTTGAAAGAGGGTCTTTCAGTACAGGACCATCCTTTTCTTAAGCTGTTATGCTGTATAATCTAAGGGAAAATGTATTTTCTGCATTTACAAACATATAATCTACACAATGTTAAAAGATAGATAACCTTTATCGTCATTTTTTTTTTACTGTGGGCACACTGGCACACATTAAAAATAAAATTTAGTTGCTTGCTCTCAAAGTGTACACATACCTAACACACATTTAAACATATTATACACAACATATGTATAGACCTACACTCTTACATATAAGCAACATATAAATATTAATCACTGTCCATCTTGAATACATAACGGAAGGAGGAAGCTTTAGAGTTCACAAGGTTAATACTGTATGGAACAAAACTGTGAATGAATCTGGATGTTCTGCTTCAGATACCACGGAGCCTCCTTCCAGAAAGGCACTGTATATATTAGGTAATACTGGAGAAATTCCACTATATTTCTGATCTTGAGAAGAATAGATGGAGAGATGACTGGATAAAGATCTGACAGACTGACTTTAAGCCTCCAATGTTCGCAGATATCAGAATTGCACAATTTAGATGATTCAAGCTGTTTGCATAAAATATCCAAAGGATGTGTTGCAGATAGATTATTTCACCATTCATAAAGCAATGCAATTAAGCTTTATTTTTTTTATTAAATGACTTTACACTGAATAACTTTGAAAAATAATAGGAACAGATTCTAAATAGTTGGAATGCGAAATGTTTGATACTAAAGTTTGGAGGAAAAAAGGGGATCCAGTCTTCACACCTGTGGAAATATGGATAATTTAATATTAGAAATTGCCCTTAAAAGTCTTGAAATGTAGCTACCAAATAAGGGAAGCAGAAGGTGTTTTTAAAACAGTATTATATAGACGGATAGGGCAAAATAATATATATTATCTCAAATATTATGATCGCTTGTGAATAAGTCTACTAAATTTTTGAATTCTGTCTCTGTATATAAGTCACCTTTTCCCCTGATAGATGTTTCCCTTTCCACCATTTTTTTTTTCAGAGAAGGGGCAACATTGAGATTAAGCATCTATTTTTGGCAGTTCCTACTCATTCCTTACTTTACACTACAAGCTACCTATTTTGGGGAAAGAAAAAATTGTGAAGATTAAAAAAAGGGGGAAAGTAGAGAGAACAGTTCATGGAAGACCAAGTCAGCACCTGAAGAGATGAAGGAGGGAGCTTTCAGGAGAGTTTCAGGAGACCAGAAGCTGCATTTTGCAAATCCTGTATGGTTCCTTGGAAGGTGCTTAAAAACGATCTGGATTCCGGTCCAGATTGAAGTTTTTCTCTTCCTACTGTTACCTCCCTGTTCTCTTCCCATGAGTGCATGGTTGCAAAACTGTTTGTTGTGTTGTCCAAAGCATACAGCTTCAGCATCCATTGGTCTGTAACTCCACACAGGTTTGGATGCATTTGGGATAGATGCACTATCTGGGAGTCTTCGTAGTCTTTCATCTTCTATTGGAGGAATAAGTGACAGCTGTGGCCAAGAAGGCCATTGCACAAGAGTTTACAGTTTATACAAGAGTTGCATGCATTCTTATACTGAGAGACACTCCTTACTGTCATTCATGCTTTGGTTGCCTCATGGGCGGACTACTACAATGTACTCTACATGGAACTGCCCTTGAAAACTGCTTGGAAACTATATCTGGTCCGGAATGCTCCTGTACAAGAGTGATGGGCACATCTTGCTCTACCCATATAATATCCCTGATGTATGAATTATGCTGTTGTAAGGTAGTTTCTGAATGCAGTTACCTATGAAGTACTACATTTGTAGCACTACCTATCTCCTGGAGCGCCCTCCTGCCCCATATAGTCCAGCACAAATGGCTTGGTTTGCTTTAGGACCAATCAATTAAACAATTTCATCTAATGGATCCAGGAGGCAGCTTCTGTGTCACCCTACCTGCCATTTGGAATCCTGATGAAGAATTAGATGAAGACCCTGTTTTGCAGAAGTTTGCTAGATTTTAGCTTCCAGACTGGCTTTAAAAGTTGATGATAGTCTGTATGTATAGGTTTTCCTATTGGAATTTGGATTCTAAAGTACTGTAGTAGTTAAATGCTGTGTTACTTTAGCTCTAAAAAAAGGAAGTAAAGTTTTTAAAGAAGATCAATTCTGCTAATTCAGTTTTGATGGATGGGAGAGCAAACCCTTGTTTAACATGACAACACAAGTGTTTTAATTTCTTTATCTCCTTATAAATCCAACATTTGGAAGCACAGAAGCCACATCCATATTTTTATTATTCCAGTATCAAATGAGGGAATAATTCATGCACATTTAACAACCATTTGAATCCACACTGTTGTATTTGAACATCTCAAGATCACCTCAAGATTAAAATGGCAAATTTCAACAGCAAACCTCCAAAAGTGGTGTGAGTTTTCAAAAGGTTTATCCAAAATAACGTATTATTTTATAGATTTTTTTTTTAAAAAAAAATCCTTCCTGACTAAATCTAAATAAAAATACCTTGAAATTATGGCTTTGTTCCCCTTTTGTGATATTATTGAAGGCTAAACATAAAAAAATGGTAAGAAAGTGTGCCCCCTGTGTTGCCACTATAATTTGTCAATTGAAATGTCACATCAATTATTATTGAATTTGCCTAACAGTCTGTAGGTTTTGTGGGTGGGTGTATATATACGGTGAATGTATAATAAGAATAGTCTGTAACATTTGATATTGCATTTGTATGTAACGTAGAGATTCCTTGTTTAATATCCTGGTGTCAGAGCAGTAAAGACAGTTATTCCTGTTGTTAATTTACTGTTACAGCTGCTTCCTTGTTATGCAATTTAATTTTCAACCCACCAGGGGGCTAATGATCCTCACCTATGTAGATTTCGAACAAGGCTGTTTTTTTCCATGTCAATATTGTTTTTATTCCTATTCATAGTGATTCTTTTTTACACTAATTTGGCATCCACAAAGCAGCGTACCATAACTCTCTTCACAGGTCAAAATGAGGAATGGTTTGTTGGAAAAATTATAAATCTGAACCTTTCATTTGAAAAGCACAGAGTTTCCACGAATATTTCTAATAGGAAAACTGTGGATAATGTCTACTTACATGATTTCCCAAATATGTTTGTATCCTGTTTTTTTAACTGTTCTGCCATCCTGTAAAATGTATCTGGCAATATTATTGATTCAGATGGAGATAAGTACATTGTTTTTATCATGGCCAAATTCAAATTATCTTCTTTGGAGTTATAAAGCCAGGAATAATAGGCTTCTAAAAAAGTTCTGCTTAATGTTTCAGCAGATTATTTCTGTTTTGCTTTGAACCATAATTTGCTGCTATGTTGAAATCAGCTTGTTTAGTATTGGTCAAATATTTAGAATGACAAGGCAGGATTTCATTCTACTCGGATACAACCCAGGAATGAATAATAAAATGATGATAATTCTTCTGAGACCATACAGTTCAGTCCCTGACATTTCCACACATTCTTTCCAATCCTGCTGGTTGGAAAAGAAGGGAATAAATATCTTCCATCTTCCATGTGGCTACCATTCACATAGAAGACTGTTATTTCATCTTTCCTTCATCTTCTCCAAAATAAACATGGCCTACTGTTCCTCCTAAGGCAGGATTTCCAGAACTCACTCCAATATATCAGTACCTTCCCTAAAATGTCGGACACAGGTCTCTTGTACAGTATAATAAAATAGAATTAGATCCTCCTGTAATTTTCAAATTGAAAACTCTTTATTTTTTTCTGTACATATTTTTATGTATACAATCACAATTAAAATAGGTTTGCAACTGAAATGTTTATATTGGGCATTTCAAGGTTGAAGTCTAGTCCAGTTTTGATGGGAAGGATCTAACTGCATATTTCTTTTTTGCCTCATTTTTACAACATTGCATTTGGAGGCAGCAGACAGAAATGAACAAATGTCTTGAACTGATAACATTGAAAGAAATGTACAAGAATTTTATTCATTTTATGGTGCAACTGAAATATTTGTGCTTCTTGCAGCTTCATTGAAAATATAAGTATCAGTTGCTTAGAAAAAAAACTTTTTTCGAAATGACTCTGTCTGTAAGTGACATTGAATGTCTTCTGTAATTAACAAATTTTAATAGCCTTGTAAATATTATATAAAGATTCCATGATATAATTGTAAATAATAATTGGATTAGTCAGCAAGTGACTTTTTTTTTAATCTCCAAGTACTTGGGACCTTTATAGGCTGTAACTAAACTATTAGTCAGCTCACTTTTTTAGCAGATTGATCAATGCAAAATACTACATGCTTAAGCAATACTACTCAAAAGGCTTAATAAGCCAGCAACTTCCCCGGATGGGAAAGAAGCTCTATACTCATGTTTAAGTTGCATTAGTAAGGCGTCTCACATTAGTCACTGGCTGTGAATGTTAATCACTTTCAAGCAATAATTCACAGCGTTGTTGTACTACTGTGGTGCTCATAAAATGAACTCAGTAACCTACCACTACCCAGGGGATATGTCTCTTTCATTGCAATTGAATACCCAGCCTAGCTGCATAATAGTTAGGATTATGAAATAGTGCATTTTTAAAAAGGGTGAGCAGCTGGATAATAAAATAACAAGCTCCAAAGCAGGTTTGTTAATTATCTCTCTGTCTGTTTCTTGTTGACAGAAGGAGTATGTGAGATATGGCTGACCAGCGAAGATACAGGAGCTTATGGCAGAGACATTGGCACAGATCTCCCGACTCTCTTGTGGAAGTTAGTTGAAGTGATCCCCGAGGGAGCAATGCTAAGGCTTGGCATGACAAATCCTCCGTATATTTTAGAGCATCTGGAGGTAGGTTCACAAAGGAAGCCATTGCAGTGACTAACCATCTTCTTTTGACATCATGCAGGAACTGACAGCTTGCAGCTTGGAAGCTTCCCCTTTGCAACTGCATTCACAATACGAAATGCAAGACAAGAGGGGATCAGAATTTGTGCCCTTTTGATAAGCAGTGGGCAAGTTCATGAAGAAACGAAATCCAAAATGTTAAACGAGGCCCATTCTGGATGGAGTAATCCATAAATAAAATTGTCAAGGAGTATCAAAAAAGTGTAAGCCACAGGGGAAATAAATCATGCACATCTTCTGATCCTCCCCTGAGCTAGTGCCCTGCAGATACGTGTTTGGATTACAAAACGCTAGAAGTACCATTCAGTAAAACTGAAGGCAGAAGAGTCTGCAAATTGTAGCCCATATAATATCACACTGAAGGAAAGGCTGTTATTTAATACTTTCCCTGCCCCCCTTGTACTTACAAGATGGTGTAATATTCTAGAAGCTTCTCCTACTGAACTGTTGGCACTTCTGAAATTCAGTACCCAAGACCTATGTTATTTTTAGATGAATCATCACAGGTTAATAGGTAACAACATACTTCAGAAGATTTTGCATAGTTTATTTATGCTGTTTTGAACTTCTTGGAGTACATTTTACCACAAGATGCATACCAGAATTAGTTAGCGGGATTATTTAAATCTATATCAGACAACGGCAGCAGAAATACTGGTTTTTGTTCTTGACTTTTTCTTTTGCATTTTTTTACATGCATAATGGCTTTATTTACATGTTTATAAATATACATAATATATTTATATGCTGCATAAAGACCCACCAAAAGAAAAAGGGGAAAATATAACCTGTCAGTTCAATTTTTAAGCTATACAAACTTTCCAAAGGGGAGTTATATATAATATACAGTATGCAGTCAGTAACCTGTTTCCTTGTCTTATTTATCTTGAGTGTGGCAGTGCATTTCAGAAGATTAGCTGCAAAGATGGCTGGCTGTTCTGGTCTTTGATCTACTGTTTCTTACAGATCTACCTTAAACCTAACTTCAGTGATACATTCACCATTTATCACTTCTCACTAAATATAGTATTTACATTATATATAAATACATGTTAATGGTGTGGTTTGATTACTCCAAGGGTATGCAGTCTGCAGCTCCTAGAATATATCTATTCCTTAAACAGTGTTTCTCAACCTTGACAATTTTAAGGCATGTGGACTTCAACTCCCAGAATTCCACAGCCAGCATTGCTGGCTGTGGAATTCTGGGAGTTGAAGTCCACATGCCTTAAAATTGTCAAGGTTGAGAAACACTGCCCTAAAACTTCCTTTCTGCAATTCTTAGAAACCTCTGAAAGACTGGTTTCTTTCAAAGTAATTTCCCCTTTAGAAATAACAGAGGAAAAATCAAAATTCCAGCCCAACATATATTGTAAAAACCTACCTCCTACAGCTCTGGTGGATCAAAAGTAGCATAGCACCACTCTGCCATAAACAGTTGCTTATTAACAACTACAGTGTAGGATTTTCTGTCAGCCCTACCAGGTAAACCAGACCAAAAACAGGATTAAATGAACTTTATTGTAAGGCTACATTAACAAAATCTTGCAAGTCTGAAGGCACAAACTTTTTGCCATCACTTTTAACTGCTTGATTCATTCGGGCAGGCCCTTCCTAGATTTCATGGTTTGACTGTTAAGCCACAGGGAGTTCCTGCATTTCTTGGCTGATAGTTTCCTAGGCAGCATCTCTTGCCATCTTTCCCCAAGGTCATTCACACATTCCTTTACAGCAGTGGTTCTCAACCTGTGGGTCGGGACCCCATCTGGGGTCGAACGACCATTTCACGGGGGTCGCCAAACAACACAGTCCGCCATTTTTTTCCCCCTTTTCCTTAGCTGTGCTACTCCCTTTTATTCTATTGGCTTTTGAAAGCCAATAGAATAGACTCTCTTGAATAGAGTCTAATTCTATTGGCTTTCAAAAGCCAATAGGAATTGTCCAGGCTGTCTCTGCCCTGCTGAGCCCGCCAAAAGTCCCATTCTGCAAACGGTGCTGCACCAGTTGAGTAGTCCTCGACTTACGACCGGTTGAGTCGTCCTCGACTTACGACCAGTTGGGGGTCGCGGCATTAAAAAGGTTGAGAACCACTGCTTTACAGGAAATCCCCAAAGCACCCTTGCCTGCCAAATTTATGAATCTGTAAATATTTCAGCGCATTTCTGAAAATTCATTCAACATTATTCAGTTATTCGTTGCCTGTCACTTAGCCTGCATATTTTTTTTTCTATTCTTATTTTCCCCCCCCAAAAAAAGAATGAAAAAGGACATTTTTAGGACAATTTTACATCAGTGGCATTGTATATAGACTGCACCACTTCCTCCTTGATTCTGGAGATAAAGGAATAAAGGAATCTCATTGTAGATATTAGTCCATTTCTACATTAAAAGTGGCTCAACATTCACACAATTTTGGTCAACAGTTTTTTAAGGGCATTCATTGTTCGCTTGGAGAGAAAAATCAAACAAACCTCATTTTTCAAGATACAAATAGCTCTTTCTGGAAAGAATATTAACAGACACATCTGATGGTGTGGCATTTATCTGAAAACAATACATTCCAAAGAAAAACAGAATTCAGGTATTTCCTTAAGATACTCCTTGTTCAGCAAGCTGCATTTGACAGAGGATATGCAACATATTAAGCCATAGTATATGGACAGGTAACAGGAACCACTCTTCTTTAAAAAAAAAATCGACCTCCATGTAAAAGTATAAAAGCCTTTTGGATTAAGATATGGTGGAATATTCAAAGAATTTTCAAAAGAAGGATAAAATTTACCCCACAACTGTTTTTGTTGGGTATTGTTTCTGATTGTAATGACAAAGAGATTATTTTAATGTTAAATTTAATTACAACGGCAAGGTTGTTAATAGGGCAATATTGGAAGAAGGAATCTTTGCCTACTTTGCAGGAATGGTTTTTTAAAGTTTCTTATTTAGCTGAAATGGCAAAAATTTCGGCTTATTTGAAAGATCAATCGCAAGAGAAGTATTTCTTGGTGTGGAAAAGATGGATAAATTTTATACAATATAAGTATGGTGTAAGAAAATATCATTTAGCTTTTGAATAATTTATATTTAAAGTTTAAGATATTATTTAAGAGTGTAGAATAGTTTTGTTGTTTTTTATTATTATTCATTTTTTTTTCTTTTTCTTCTTTTTCTCTTTCTGTTTTTTTATATATAATGGAGTTAAAGTATTTAATAATTTGTTTACTGAATGTGATTATACTTGCTTGAGGTTTATTTGGGTTTAAAATTTTTTTCTTATAAGTTATAGTTAACCCTGTATTCAGCTCTGGGAAGAATGGGGGAGGGTTTTGGGGTGGGTTGGGTGGGATCGGGGAAGGGGTTTTTATTGTAAAAATTTATAATAAAAAAAAAATCGACCTCCAGGTAGCACACAAGCACAGCAGTGATACATCCAAAAAATGTATTTGGTTTTCTAAACGTATTGCTTCAGATTTTATCAAGCTAATATTCAATTTGCCTAGCACATTGTCAAGTAGCTACCAAATTCCTTAAGAATGTAGACTGGTTGTAGTCTAGTACTTTGCAACAAAGGGGAAGCACATGGGGGCACTCATACATTACCTACTGACCATTTTTGAAACTGAACATTCTCTGGATCGTGTAACAGCTGACAGCCATATCTGGGGAAAACACAGGGCTGCTTTAAAGAGCTGGTGACAATCTTTGCTCCATCTCAACTGTCTGATGACTGAAAATCTTTCAAAGAGACCTGAGGGTAAAGGTAAAGCTTAGTACAGATTGGAGGAGTTTGTGGAGAGCTTAAATCTACAGTTCATGTTTAATGCATTATTTCATCATTTTATTTGTCTTTTCAAGATACTTTAGCTTTATGAACTTAAGGAGGGAAGGCTTCCATAGCTTTTCTTTCATAACATCAATAAGAGGCACTTGACATTTCAGGAGCAGGGGATGCATTCAGACCTTCTTGAAGCCTTTCTGTCATCTAGTCTTGTCAAAGATGCATATTTTTTAGATTTTAATAAATCTACACTCTATTAAGTTTCAGTAAAAGGGCTTTCATTCTTTTCTTTGTCTTTTTTAAGTGTTGTAACTGCTCTGTTCTTCTCAGGGTCATGACATAAGGACATTTATTTATGAACTAACCTGCTTGTTAAAATATAGTTGGGGAAGATACTTACACAAAACCAAATCTGGTTTTTTTAATATAGTTTGTTAAACAAAACAATAACATAACACATTTGCATAAATGTGCATAACACATTTAGCCAAAACATTTTTTAAAAGAATCCCAATCTGTTAGCAAAATGTAGCCTGTGGTTGAGAGCTAGTGGTGATTCTTCTCCGATAACTCAAAGGTTTTCTGGAATGTTTTCGGAATTCTGTTCTTAAAGCAAGTTTTGATTTTGAGCCTAAAGACTGTTAGTAAAAAATTACAAGGCTCTAAAAATAGGCAGAGTTGCCTTGAAGCCACTGTGAATCATCAAAAATACATTTGCACAATAAACATTTTGAAAAGACCTAGTTTATCATCATTAATATCAAACAGTGGCAAAAATGCTATTGGTAAATTTGACTCTGCTGATTATGTTGCTTTTCCTTCAGAAATCACTTGATTTCTACCATAGACAGTTTTCCTTTTTTGTTGTTGTTGGGTTTTTTTTTTTTATTTTGCTATGTTTGCACCTTGTTTCTGAGTGTGGAGCTGATATACAAAAGTCTGTATTTTAAAGAAGTTGTTCACACCTGCCAGTGTCTTTTTAAATGCTTAATTGCACATGATGAGATGCATAGGCCTCTATGTCACCTGTCAAGATGAGTCATGCTCAAAGTCTGCCATATGCCATCTGTGGTTTTTATCTTCCTTATTAATTCAGGTTATTCCAATGAAACCCTGACCATTGAGAGGAGTTTTGTATGCTGTGTATTTTTTTTTTTCATTTGAAGAATGAGAAATGCCAAGGCTGCTGCAAATTTACTGTAGAATTTCTTTGCTCCCCCTTTCTTTGATTCATATCAGTTGAACATTTGTGATCTGTAGCTTCATTTAAGCAGATAACTTTACAGATGGCTTTCTAGATATGCCCTGACACAGTGCCTAAAAATGGATTGTGGTACAACAGCTAATATCTTCTTTCTTATTCTTTGTTCTTATGTAAAAACTCAGTTCTTTAGTAGTACAGAGATAAAGATGTTTGGTCACTGTGCATTCTCTATAATGCCTTTTTCATTTTCCAATCCAATTTTTATAACCCTCTTCCAAATGCTTTGGTCCAAGTTACACAAAAATAATTTTAAAACAGTTTAATATATTATAAGCCACAACAACTTTGCATATCACATTGTTCCAAAACACATTTACCTGTGTTTAAATGTTATGTGAGAATTAGACCAGTTTCAAAGATACAATTCCATTCATTCTTTAGATGAGGATAATTAAGTAGATGTCAATAATACATATTCCATTTCCTAATATTTATATTGCATCCATTCACTTTAGTAGGCCTCCCATTCTGTTAATATAAGCCTATTCTTGTGAAGTGAATTTGTAAGAACTTCCTACTCTTTCCTTGATTACAGTGTGTAAGTGTTATTGTCAAATGGTTTACTATTTGGTTCAGAACCTGATTTGTATTGTGAGAATTTTTTTTGCAAATTGGAGTTTTTCACTTGTACCTTTCCACGGAGCTATTGGCATCCTTTCATGAATTGTTGGAAAAAATGAAGGAACTTCCTCAACAGTGTGCGTGCCACATGGTGTAGCAATTAGCTGGAACTCCTGGCAATTTGGAAAGCACTCTGATATAAAAGGTTTTCATTTACACACTCCTGCAACAGTAAATAAACAAACGAGGGCTATCTCTTTTTATGTTCTATGCGTCCTACATTCCACATTTATGCAGACAATATATACAGAAACTAACATTTCTGACCCAATAGGGGAGTTTCGTTCTAGGGATGATTGCTAGATTGAGAGCAGACTCCTCCTCTCCCTTCCCCCATCTATTTTTAATTAGTCATATTGATGTACTTTCTTCGTTTATTTTATTATTCTATTATTTTATTGTTCTATCATTTTACTTTGCATCAGATTACCAATCTTCTAATGAGCCAAGGGCATACATTTTTGCTGAAAATTAGACTGCTGTGAGCATCTGGTGCCATCTTACTTGAGCGTCTTACTCAAAAATGTGTACATCACATTATTTTTGAATGCCGGAGATGTGGAAAACTAACAGTGTACTTACTAGTATGTAAAAATATTACTGATGTTATTTTCATGTCTCTAGGAAATGGCTAAAATTCTCAACCATCCAAGAGTCTACGCTTTTCTACATGTACCAGTTCAATCTGCTTCTGACAGTGTATTAATGGACATGAAGAGAGAATATTGCGTAGCTGATTTCAAACATGTGGTGGATTTTCTTAAAACTAAGTAAGTCTAATATTTAAAAGATAAATAATTTTATAATATGAAATTTTAAAAGATATTTGCTTTTTTACATCTTCATAATTTGGCTATGCTTTACAATTGCTTTGATGTAATATTCTGTTTCAAGTTGCTTTTATTTTGGAATATATGATTTGATGTGAGTTTTTTTTTCACGGAGTTGTTTAATGCAGATTTTCAGAGTAATTGATACAGAATGCAAAAAAAGTGCTGCTCCAATAATGTAGTTGGAAATTGTAATTGAAAGTATCTTTTTATTTCTAGTGTACGGTTTGCAATATGTGGATTTTGTGTTAATCCTAGGAATTTTTATTAGCAAATTATGACAATAACTATATTTCAAAACACTTTTTAACAATAGTATATATTATTTTGTCACCATTTAAATGAACTTTGAAGTCAGTTCCATTGGCAACATTCATTAAGAATTCCTTAAGTAAGAAGTACTAGCAGTAGGAAAACTCAATTAGACTGTAATCATTTTGAGTATTAAGTATTCTGAATTTTTATTGAAAATAATACTGTGTGACCTTGTGAAGGTTGTCTGGCATGTGGTTATTTCCATTGCCTATAAATACATGCAGATATATGTAATTTATTTTACTAGTTGAAGTTTCATTCCATGTTATCTACACAAGATCAGCATTTTTGGTAACTCCCAAAAACTTAGATGGTTTGGAAATGTTGAAATATTTATGAAATCAAAGGCAACCTGTCCACATTTTAAGAGAGAGAAACAGTATCATTTAGGTTGTCAGTCTTCTCTGACCAGCATAGGGCAGTGGATCACAGATCATTTGATACATCACTGCTTTGCTTGATTAGCCAGCTTAATCTGGGAGAAGGCTAACAGACACAATTTTGCACAGTTGGCTTTATGGTATTTCAAAATTTAGCCTTATACAACTATTAATTGTCTCCTATGCTGAAGAGCTATCATGGACGTTTAGCTATTCCAAGATATTTAAATTCAAGGTTTCTCCTCCCATCTTTCTGAAGTAATGGATACTTGGCATTTGGGAGCTTTGAAGTTGGATGGTTCTATTCTGTTATAGTCAGTCAATCAATCAATCAATCAATCATAATATAGCTGGAAGGGACCTTGGAGGTCTTCTAGTTCAACCCCTTGCTCAAGCAAGAAACCCTATACCATTTCAGACAGGTGGCTGTCCAGTCTCTTCTTAAAAACCTCCAGTGATGAAGCACCTACAACTTCTAAAGGCAAGCTGTTCCACTGATTAACTGTTCTCACTGTTAGGAAGTTTCTCCTTAATTCCACATTGCTTCTCTCCTTGATTAGTTTCTATCCATTGTTTCTTGTCTTGCCTTTTGGTGCTTTGGAAAATACTGGAATACTACTATCATGTCACGCCTAGTCCTTCTTTTCTCTAGACTAGCCACACTCAGTTCATGCGTATGTTTTACTCACCAGGCCTTTAATAATCCAATAGATAAGATAAGAACCTTTATTGTCATGTTTATACTGTGGGCACAATGGCACACATCAAAACTGAAATTTAGTTGTCCGCTCTCAAAGTGAAACACATACATGACACATATTATGAACAACATATGTATAGACCCACATCCCTACATATACATAGCAAATAAATATTAAATATTGTCCATCTTGAATATATAACAGAAGGAGGAAGCTTGAGAGTTCGCAAGGTTAATGGAATGAAACTCTGACTGAATCTGGATGTTCTGCTTCGGATAACACGAAGCCTCCTTCTCTGCAATTTTTCCAAAATCTCAACATCTTTTTTGTAATACGGTGACTAAAACTGGACACAATATTTCAAGTATGGTCTTACTAAGGTTTTATATAAAGCAGTACTAATACTTCATGAGATTTTGATTCTGTGCCTCTATTTATAAAAGCAAGAAATACAACAGAGCCAATGGAAGAGAATATCTGTTGCTCAGGGTTGATCTATGGAATTCTTGCTTGTTGCTTGCATATGTTTCATTACCAAATAAGTAAAATCAGTATGAGTAAGTGTGAGATTTACTACCTGTTTATATATTGCAGCTTTCCTTGAGAATTTTGCCTTGCCAAACCTATATTTCTATTGAAAATCTAGAAGAAAATCTCAGTCTTTGCCATAATGTGCATTGAGATATATTAGTTATGCATTTAATATTGTTGGAATCACTGACTCTTACGTTGTAATAAGTCTTACTCTAAAATTCATGCTATTAGTTCCATTTTGGCCTTCTAGCTTACCCTAGAAGAGCAATAGGCAGGCTGAGACCATTTCAATTTGCCTAAGCTCTTGTACTATGCTAGCATGGTAGGAACAGAGGACTGGTATCACCTCACATCCTCGTTTGGCTAAAAAGCCCCCAGTGTGCCTGATCCTGCCTCAAGAAGAGATGACTATGGGGAAGACTTGGCTGATGGTAGCTCTAACAGAGAATACAAGCAATGTCTTTGTCTAGTGCCAGCAGAGCAATACAGGCAGTGGAGGCTGCATTAAGAGCGCATTCTTATTCCTGTTGCCTAGGCAAGGACAACATTCAGCCTTTTCACAGAAGGAGATGCAGTCTTCTCTTGGCCAAGCTTGTTGAGGTTTGCTGAAAGATGTCACTGTCAGTTCCCATCCTTGTCTGCCTATCCAAATGTGGCCTGTTTCTCATAGTCCAAGCAATGGCTGCAGAATGCATGGATATCCTGAGTAGCTCTGGCTTGATTGTTTTGCTGTTTTCTGCCCTTCCATTTTAAGGTGCTGCAGGTAATAGGCTGAGCAAGAAAGGGTGGACAAGATGAGCCAGAAATGGCTGGGGATGCAGGTGACAGAGAGATAAAGATCCTGTGTAGCATGTGGATGTGAAGTTAGTAAATTTTGTGAACATTATAATTGGGCTTTATTGGATTGCTGCCAGTATGCCAACAGGTAGCCTATCTGAGCAGAGCAAGTATAATCCTTTAAAACCTCCTGCATTAATGCCTATCTCAGTGTCTTTAGGAGAATATTTTGGTACATGGAGCTAGGTATTACTTAGAAACATGAGAACATGAAAAAGGCTAATTAAAAAGGAGTAATACCAATGTTTGACTTATGCCTTTTTTAAAAAAAAGTTTTTACAATGATTGAGAAAGAGAGTTGTTTATTGATGCAATAAGGTAAGATGCTAAATATTCTAGTTATTAATGTCTCAGAATCATTTTATTTAATTGAAAACTGTATATTTGAAATGTCAAAACTCAAATCTTACAAATTTTGAAAGTTAACTTTTGTAACAACTGATTATTTCCAACATACAGTACAGAAACAGAACAAGCTCAGTCTATAAGAGCGAAAAATGTTGGATATTGGAATTTACTGACATCTGTAAAGTTCATTTATTTTTATTTCTGTATTAGGTCTTTTTTCTATGTGTCATCTGCTAAAAGCAGCCAAATATGACGTTCCTATATAACTATTCCCCACTAGACATCTCATCACAGACATTATGAAAGGAAAACATTGCAATGGATTCCTGCAGTTTCTCCTAGAAATAAATTACCTATGAATCTGTTCTTATGGACACATCACTTTTTCTTAATTTCTCTTCCAAGATGTAATGATGGATACAAGAAAGTAGGTATCGTTTAAGAACTCAAATGGCCTCTATCATTCAGGACAATATCATATGCTGCCAATTAATTTCAAAATTCTGTGCTTTCAATTGAAACAATTTGCATGAAGTTTGTGCATAAAAATGCTTTTAAGTGAGTAATGCTAGGCCAATGATTAAATAATTTTTAATTACTTCTAAAAATTTCCTGCTAGCGTTCTACGAAATTAAATGTTGTTTATTACCTCTTTTAACTTAACAGAATAACAGAGTTGGAAGAGACATTGGAGGTCTTCTAGTCCAACCCCACACTCAAACAGGAGACCCTATACCAGTGGTGGTAAACCTGTGGCATGCGTACCAGAGGCGGCACTCAGAGCCCTTTCTGTGGGCACGTGTGCCGTGCCCCGGAGATGGCGAGGGACTGGCCCCCGCCATCCGGGCCCCACCCACCCAGTCTGCTATGACCACTGTGGACATGCCCACCAGGCACCGGTGATAAATAAGTTGGTTTTGGATTGCAGTTTGGGCACTGAGTCTCTAAAAGGTTCGCCATCACTGCCCTATGCCATTTCAGAAAAATGGTTATCCAGTCTCTTCTTAAAAACCTCCAGTGATGGAGCACCCACAACTTTTTTTATATAAATATGTTGTCTGGGTCCATTGATAATTCAATGGTATATATTAACTTCTTCAATCTAGATCCAATATTGCAGGATTTATCGTTATAACAATTTTTATTAGTTTTCCAGTTTTACATTTGAGTATTTGTGGTGATTGGGTTAGTCAGTATTTCGGTAACCAAATCTTTAGTACATATCTCAGGTTACATCATCAAAAATTCCTTCTGTATTTCCCTTAACATTTGCTAAATCATAAGTAAGCTAGTAAATTATATCATAATTAAGCTAGTAAATCAAACTCAGTTGAAACATTTATCATTATGGTTTTGCTTATATATATACATATCCTGTTTTTAAGTTTTATCTAATTTTAATATTTAATTGCAATATTCCAATTTAACCTTTAATATCCATAGTATTTAATTTTCAGGTAGCCTAAATTCCCTTTATTTCATTACATAAAAGTTATACTATCTAAAATACACATATTACTTACTTAAATATATTCTTATTTTATTTGATAAACTTTTTCTATTTCTCATCCTAATACATCACCACAATAATGGAGTATCCTTTATTATCTCAAATCCATCATCTACATTATCTGGGCTAAACAATAATTCAAAGCTACTGTATTACCTAATAGTTAATTTTCATTTCACTTGTAAGTCTAAATCCTCAATATTAAGCCAATTAATCCCTTGTTTTTTATTATTTTCCAACAATATTTGAATCTAATAATCAAATTTCCCTTCATCTCAAAATCTCCCTTTAGCCCATTAGTTGAAACTTTAGGAT